TGTGAGCGCAGGCGTACATGCGTACACCCTCGCTTTGGCAGTCTGTTGTGTTTTGCTGCACGCCCGCCTTACGCGTGGCGGAAGCACGCTGTTCTGCACGCACCCGCACTGTGTGGCGGCTACGTGCGCATTTTCCACGCTTGCTGCAGTCAGCAATGCGGAGTTGTCGATGAGGAAATTCTATCGAATTTAGTCTGTTCATAAATTCCTAGCAGTCACGCCATTTCTCGCTTTCTATAGCGTAGGCGCTTTTATAGCATTGCTAGGCTTTTTGGTAGGCAGAATTCCGTCAATTCTGTTCCTACGCGTGAACCTTCACCAGGTCCACGCTCATATGGTAGCAAGAGTCGTGTTTCTCCAGAATAATCTCTGAAGTTTTTCCCGTCCATTTGACGAGGTGTGGAAGAAGTCTCCCGCGAGAAAGGGCTCGCGTACTGATCGGTGGCGAAGGAGCGTTTGGATCTCAGCAGATCAGCATCAGTGTGTCTCTACTGAGTAGAGCACGCTGTACTGACCTGACGCGATCAAGGCTACTGAAGTAGCTTTGATTGGAGGGGCACAAGCGCCGAGAAAGATCGCCGCAAGAGGCAGAAGCCCGAAGGGGGCACGAGTGGGCAAGCCACTTTTGGCTGTCGGGTGTGGAGTTTCAGGTGCGTCTCTACTGAGTAGAGCGCACACACATTATACGCGCTCTCCCAAAAGGGTGATCGAGCGCCCCTGTCGTTGCCAACGTTAAGGCGCGACAGAAGACCCGCAGCCAGCAAGCTATTTGGTCGACGCACCGTTGCGTCCCGTTGAGGCGAAACGGAAGGGGTTATCGGCTGGCCCAGGAGAAGTCAGCTTAATCGCTGGAGGATTGGAGGAATCGCGGAAGGACGCGCAGGATCGATTTCTGGATCACGGAGACGATCAGGTCAGATTTTCGTTTATTAATTTAGCTATTGGCTGATTGGTAAAATCCTCAATTCTTATTGGTCGGTGATGAGCTGAGCGAAAAAGTAGGCGGTACTTTTGCGCACGGCGCGCTAGCTAAAATTTTCGATTTTCGACGTGACGTCACTCTGCCTTATAATCTGAAAAACAACGTTTCTGATTGGTCAGTTATTCGCACTGTGATTGGCGCAGTAGCGTAGTTAGGAAATTAGCCAATTAGAAGCTGAGATTTCGATAGGAGGCGGAGTTTTTGCGCACGGCACTTAAGATCGTGACGTAGCCAGCTGAGAAAATTTTCTGAATCGACTGACGAGAAGTTGACCTTTACCAAAAATTTCGACGAGAATGATGACCTTTATTAAAAGTTGAAAGCTGAATAAATAACGTTTATTCTGAGGAAATCTAAGTTGATTTCTCAATAAAATCGAAAAATATTCTCAGGTTAGACGTTCTAGAACGAAGTTGATAGTGACCTTTAAAACAGAAAAGTTCTGAAGGAAAAAGTGACCTATAACGCGACGGAGTAAGCTATTAAGCTGAAACAGTGGGAAATTAATCTCATTTTACTAAAGGAAGTGACCTTTAGAAGGGACTTAGCATTTTTGAGGCAGAGCGACCTTTAGTAAAATTGAGCTGATACAAAAGAAGGTGACCTTTAGGACAGCACTTGTTTCTGTTGACGTGTAAAGGGGCTTACGTAGCTAAAACTAACACACGTGTCAGAAACATTATTAGCATCGTCCAAGTTATCCGATCATCAACGGAAGCCAAAGATATGGACCAAGACACAGACGGTAATGAACCGGTCTCATCGAGCAGTCAGAGAGAACGGTCTCAGGGGTTAGAAAACCCTTACGAACGGAAACTAAAGCCGTACACACGGCCCGTGGAACATGAAAGAGCAACTCGAGCTCAAAAGACCTTTGGGAGGAAGGACACCAGAGGCTCAGAGGCCACATATCAAACGGCCCTGAGGGAAACTCAGAACGAAAGCTCGAGTGACGGAAATGGAAAAAGCTCCGAACGACATGTCGGAGATAACACGGTAGACCAAGCAAAGGTCACCGAAGAGAGAACGGCTTCAGATGGACAGAACAAAGATGACAAGAAGGCCGAGACCGGAGGAATGGCACGGTCGGCCGAAAAGGTCAAGGAGGAAAACGCGGATCAAGTTGAGAAGGGAAGTGACGAAGTCAGTCAAAAGGTCACCGAAGGTAGTGGCGCCGTCAGCAGCAACGAGCTGATCGACGAGGGAAAGGTCAAACAGGATGACCTTTCGGAAAACTCACTGTTCTTACAAGAACAGCTGGAAGAGAACGGTACCAGCCCCGCGTCAAGTGACAAGTTTTACACTGACGATGAAGACGAAACGACAGTACAGACGTCTTTCCATACGGCAATGAAGGAGGCAAACTTAACGAAAGGGATGTTTGATACGACCTTCCAGGACAAGCCAGAAGAGACCTTTGAAGGAATGGCGTCAGGAGGAACCGACGACCGGGACCAAAGGTCACCATCACCAAAAACATCCGTAATGAATGGATTAAAGCAGCGTGTCAAGGATCTCGAGCAGCTACTTGACGAGAAGAGAGCCAAGCATTCGCTGCCATTCGAGAACAACGGAATAAAACTATCGAAGTCGAAGCAAGGCTGTATGTGATGGAGCAAGAAAAGGTCACGCTCGAAGACGAAGCGCAACAATGGAAAGTTAGATTTGAAGTTCAGAAACAAGCGGCGGAAGATCTAAGGAAAATGGTCGAAGATCGAGACGCGGAAGGCATACTCACCGCAGAAGAAGACGGTCTGTCCGAGGAAGCAGCTGAAAGGTCACAGGAAATAGCAGAATTGAAAAATGAGCGTGACCTTTTACAGTCAAAGGTCAAGGAGGCCGAGAAAAAACGTGACGAATCTCTAGCAAATGCGACGAAGTTCACCGGAAAGGTCACCAGCTTGACGGCTGACATCTCGAAACTGAAGGATGACCTTAAATTACGCGAAGACCTTGTCAACACGTTACAAACAGAATTAAAAGAGATGAAAAGGAAACACAACGAAGCGGAAAGCCAGAGAGATCAAGCAGCAAAGGAACTGCTTGAACTGGCTGAAATAACAAAAACTGAATTCAAGCGACTCAATGACGAAATCGACAACCAAAAGAAAGAAGCAAAGAAGTGGTTGAAGGAAGCACAACGGTGTGACGAACGGGTCACTGTGCTAGAAGTCGTGAATAAAGAAGGAAAGACAGAAAATGAAAAACAAAAGAAGAGATCGCCAAATTGAGCGATGAATCAGTCGGATTGGCTACTTCCGTAATGGAAAAGGATGATAAAATTACGGAACTAAAAGTCCAACTGAAAGCAGTTGAGGAAGAGTGCCAAGCGAGAGGAAGGACCCTCGCAGACAGAGCGGATCGTATTACACGATTGGAAGCAGAAGCTGAGATCCTAAAAGCAGCGAAAATGGATCTCGATAAGACCCTTGATAACAGGGCCAGTACAATCCTCGAGCAAATGAGAAAGGTCACCGAAGCAAACAACGATTACGAGAAACTGCGGAAGGACGCAAATGAAACCGTGAGACAGCTACAAGAAACAATTAAACAAAGAGACGAAGAAATCAAGACTCTCAAACGCTCGGCAAAACAGAAGGAAACTGAGATCCAACAGCCGGAACGAATCGAATCTCCGCCCCCTGGATACGGTGAAGTCCACACCGTCGAAGGTAGCTTTCATTTCCAAGCTCCCTTAAAGACGGGGACTGGCCGAGGCGACGGCCATGATAAAGATAAGGTCAAAGCTGAAAAGGTCACCGACGATACTGAGTTGGCGAAGGGGCACTCAGGACCGACCGGTGGGGTCAATCCTCGGCAACAAGAAACAGGACCGAGGGAAACAATCGTCTACAAATCTGACCATCAACCAGATAATCATGAAGATCCACGAGTTCGCCAAAACGAGCAGGAAAGGGTAGCTCGTGAAGAGGAGAGGCGAGAAAGAGAATACCGCGCGGAATACCATGCTGAGGCACAGCGACTCCGTCGCGAAGAACGGGAATTCAGAGGTTACATGAGAGCCATGGCCCGGAAATCCGCGTTGATCGACTACAACGGCAACCGAGAAGCTTTACTTGGTTGGATCCGTCAGGTCAAGGAGACTCAGAAGACGTATGACCTTTCGGATGCAGCAATGATGCTGGAAGTCGCCAACGCAGTCAAAGGGGACGCGAAGGCATGGTTTGACGCGGAAAGAGAAATCGATGACGAAGAAGAGGCGGAAGAGTTAACCGTCGATGAATGGATGACAAAGTTCAAAGAACATTTTGGCGATCGTGACGAAGGGGTCAACGCCTTAAGAGAAGCGATGACGAGAAAGTTCGAGGCTGGCAAAGAAACGCTTGACCAGTTCTATCAGGCGATCATGCGCTTCAAGTCGAAACGGATCATAACTGAGAAGCAGGCTATCGGATTCCTGATTCAAGGATGTAAGAATGACAGTGACCTTTATAAGGCACTCCGAGCACAGAAATTCCATAACCCAATGGATATCAAGGAATTCTTCCGCACCTGGTCGACTGGCGAAGAAAAGTATAAGGTCACGAGAGGCAATCGAGTCCAAGATGATTGCGTGATCATCCGATCGGGCCAGATCGAAGAAGTCGCGAATGGGCGACAGAACCAGTCGTGCTCGGCGCAGGCGTCAGGATACAATACGGAATTCCCGCCGTTAGGCACTCAAGAGATGACCTTTGGTAACGGTCGAAATGAAGGTCAGGTATCGTACGCGACGATCGCGGCGATCCAAACGGCCGTCCAAGAAGTAACCAAGCCTGCGATCGCGGCGATCCAAGCATCAGCTCAGCAAGCAGCAAGGCCGAAACAGAATCCACAAGGAAACGTGCAGAGAAATGCCCTGAATGGAGGGCTCGGTGGTCAAGGAATGGCTCAGGCGAACCCGGGCTTTGCTGGCCAGGGATTCAACGGTGGCGGAGGAAATCAAAGGAAACTTCCGACCGAACCGTGGACAAGGAAATCAAGGACCACGATACGGGTCGCGAGTAGAGCGCCTGTTCACCATGATCGACGGATGGGTGGTCAATAACGCGCTGACATGCCAGAACTGCATGTACGGCAACCACTACACACAAGCGTGTTCGTTCGCGGGAACACCGTGGAATCAGAACCCCAACCGGGTCGTGTATGAAGAATGGTTGATGCTGCGTAACAATCATGGCGGATGGCGCAACGCAATAGCAAACGGATACGTGCCACAATCACGCCAAGGCGGTCGGTATGCTGGTCAAGGTGGCCAAGGGAACTTCGCCGGTCAAGGTGGCCAGGCCAACTACAACAATCAAGGAGGCCAGGGCAATTTTGGCGGCCAAGGGAATTTCGCTGGTCAAGGTGGCCAGTGGAACAACGGAGGTCAAGGCGGCCAGGATAACTTCGGAGGCCAAGGCAACTTCGCCGGTCAAGGTGGCCAAGGCGGAGGAAACGGCGGATATGGCCCGGTTAGAGGCGGCTTCCGAGGTAGAGGCAGAGGCCGCGGCGGCAATCGCGGAAATTACGGCGGTGGCCAATGGAATGGTGGTGGTCAAGGTGGCCAATGGAACGGTGCTGGTCAAGGAGGCCAGTGGAATAATGGTGGTCAAGGTGGCCAGAATTTTGCCGGTCAAGGTGGCCAGGGCAATTTCGCCGGTCAAGGTGGCCAGGGCGACTTCGGCGGGCAGCAAGGCGGCTTCGTCGGTGGGAACCAGAACGGTTTCGGTCAGCAAGGCGGAGGTTTTAACTTCGCCCCGGCGAATGGTGCCGGTCAGGCGCAAGGTGCGCCGGTTCAGGGAATGGCCCAGGGAAACGTTCAAGGTCAGTAGGCGCCGGTGAGCCTACTGATCGTCCGGAACCGAAACCACCGGATATAGAGGAGCAAGGTGCTCCGCTGCAGGCAAGGACCGCAGCGAGAAAGGGATGCTGCGAAAGTAACGCAAAGACCCGGAAAAGAAATCCGAGGATTCGAGAAAGTAACTCGAAATCGAGCGAAGGGGCTCGTAAAGGTCAAGAGAAGGGTGTTAAAAGATTGCCGCAAGGACGGAAGAATTTGACCGAAAGGTCACCGCAGAAAGTAACTGCGGGGAGTCAAGAAAGTAACTTGACTCAGCCGGGGCCGACCGAAAGGTCACCGCAGAAAGTAACTGCGGGGAACAGGGTTGACGGAAGGGCCTCAACTCTGCATCCGGGACAGCAGAAAGTAACTGCAAATCAAGAAAGTCACGAAAGTAACGTGACGCTGCAAGGACAGCAGACCCAAAGGTCACCGCAGAAAGTAACTGCGAGCAAAGGTCACGAAAGTAACGTGACGCTGCAAGGACAGCAGACCCAAAGGTCACCGCGGAAAGCAACCGCGAGGAAGAGTGAAGCTACTCTGCGAAAGACGCAAGCGGAAATCTCAAGCGAAGAGGATGATGAAACACATCACGCGAGATTCCGAAAGTTCGTCGAAAATACGTTTGAAGTTGACGGAATGACCGTAACCGTACAACGAACGCACGAAGGCGGTCCGGATAGACCGAAATTCCTTGAGCAGATGGCAAAAGTATTTCAAGCAAGAGCTGCCGAGGAAGATCACAGAAGGGCCGTGACTGCGCAAGGAGCGCAAGAGACCGAAAGGTCACCTCAAGCGAGAGTTGAAGAAGTGAAAGGTCACGAGAGATTGCCAGTGCAGCAGACTCAAGAGTCACTGAAAGAGAAAGGTCACGGTGAAGTCGCCGATGAACCGAAAGGTCAAGAAAGTAACTTGACTCTGCGAATGGCGCAGCAAACAGTGAAACAGAGCGAAGGGGCACAGCAAGTCTCAGATGACTCTCTCGATGAGGCAAACACTCTACAACAGAAGAATGAGTGGCAAAAAGTCGCTTACAGGCCGAATGGACGGCACGGTATGTGGAAACCAGTTCCTCCGCCACAAAGGTCACCGCAAGATGTGAGAATCTCCAGAGAAGCTTACTGGGAAGAAAGAGAGAAACAAGACTGGCGGATGAGAAAGCATCTCGAGGAAACGGTTAAAGCTTCACAACCGAAAGTACAAGAGTACTGGGAAGAGAAAGTCCAATGCGACGAAAATAACCGTCAGTTTCGAGAGCGGATTGAGAAGGGTGAACTACCGCCTCAGTATGGCGAGAAAGTACCTTTACAAAGGTCACTAAATGGTGGATTTTTCATGTCAAGACCAGAAAGGTCACCGGACTTTGCGCAAACTCCGCAAAAGGAGAAGTCATACGACATGACAGAAGCAATCCGGAATGACAACGAAAGGTCACCGCCAAGAACTGACGGATTGTCATCTCAAATCGATCCCACTCGCACGAATAACGAAATTGCGAAAAAGATTACGGAATGGATGAAAGAAAACGACCATAAGATGGTTGTGTACGAAAGGTCACCAGAGAAAAAGAGTGAAGATGACGAGATGACCTTTGCGGATGAAATTACACAAGAGATAATGGCAAAGTTGCAAGAAAAACCGTCCAAAGATGTGCGCAATGAAAGGTCACAATACGAAGTTATTGCGCAAGTGATAAAAGGTCACGAGAACGCACAAGAGAAGGGTTTAACGTGCGAAGTGGCAAAGGTCACGGGTAAAGAAAACGCTGCGAAGGAGCAAGCGAATATCTTACCGAAGTCAAAAAGGATCGAAAAGTTCTCAGATGTGCGACCCGACGTACCGAAACGGATAGATCGTTGGAGCTCAAAAGGTCTGATAGAGAGCAAGCATGCTGCACCAATCCCAGTCAAGTGTCGAATAAGAGTCTTGAAACTCGAAGATGGAAACTTACCGAAACGGATCGAAGCTTATACACATGAAGTCAAAATTGGAAATAAAGGTCATGGCAATGCTTGACACTGGCGCCGAGACGTCTTTGATTTGTCAACAGTTCTGTGAGAGAAACGGCCTCCAGACTGTCAGACTTCCACCGAAAAAGAAGGTGATGATCAAAGGGATCAGTGGAACGTCAGGCTTTGAAGTAACGCACTACTGCGTAGCACCAGTGACCTTAAGAAGGAAAACGAGTCAACACTCGTTCTACGTCAGACCAGCGTCAGACGACGTCCAAGTCCTACTGGGATTCGACTTCCTCGCAAAGAAATTCGTCCTGATAGACGGACACGACGAGGAAGAAAGAGAAACTGAAGCTGAAGACGACGAGCCGAAATCATCCGCAAAAGTTAATGCAGGAAAGGTCACCGAACTTCAACCAAGAAATAATTCGGGGCAAACGGCTATCCCAGT